ACAAAGTGTTTAAAAGAGGACCAGACTTTAACATTTGGGTTTCTTCCACACCTGCTGCTCTTTCAGACTTTACAGCAGCTTTCACTTCTTCCAGGGAAATATCACAACTCAAACCCTTAGAGGAGTTCTCTCCGCACACATTTATCTAAACTGTCCTTTACATCTTCAACAGTATGTGGAATATTACTTCCTGAAAACAAACCAGAGAAATCGCTCTCCCACTGTTTAACCAGTAACGCTGTGCTGCGTTCGAGGACCTCGGTACTCGGGACAACCCCCACAGGTGTTTCTGTTGGTTTGTAAATGATGTGATCTGAAGGACTCTGCTGACCTCCTTTATAGATCCTTCATTTATCTAATATCAACTGTTTCTTCACTGGATCATTACATCCGACTCCTGTTCAGCTGTTTGTCCTTCGTTACAGTTTCTGGAGCTCAGAAAGCTTCAGAGCATCTTGTTAACTGCTCACGTGTTTATTTAAATGTTTGAATGTGTTTCTAACCCTCATACGACAGAACTCACTGCACCAGCGATCGACACCATGTTGAGCTCTGACAGAAGCTGTTTAATTAACTGATAAAGCAAAGCGACGCGTCGGAGGACGAGACGTTCTGAGGAGAAGTTCTGCGTCTCTTTCTGACTGAACCTGAAGTTCTTCTGTTTCTGGAACTTTAACTGTGAACGATGAAACTGATCCGCTGAGTGACAGCGTGCGACTCGGCGGCGAGCGCTCTTCCTCACCAGGTTCTCGTTGACGATGCCGTCGCTGGCGGCGAAGAAGGCCAACACGTGCGAGATGAAGAACCTCTCCTCGTCCTTCAGAGCCTCCCAGTGCTGCAGGTCCTTGGACAGATCCACCTGAACAAACAGGAGCCGTTAACATCGACCAGCAGCTGCTCGTGTGACGGCGTTCACACAGAGGACGCCGCGGCGCCGCGTTCCCGCCGCACCGCGCTCCACGGACAGACTCACACGTACCTCCTCTGCGGTCCAGAACGACGCCTCGGCCTTCTTGTACATCTGCCAGATGTCGTGGTACTTGATGGGGAAGATGACGAAGCGGCGAGGGTTTTCCTTCAGCAGCGGCTCCTCCTCTTCCTCAGCGCCGCTCTTCTTCACCGCTTTGGGCTGAAACACAAACACACAGCGACCGTCGACCACGAGCTCAAACACACGATCACCTGCGTCTGCGGCGCCACCGTTAACGGCTGACCGTACCAATACAGTTACATCAGAGCGGGAACTTTCTGCTCCTCGACTGTGAGGCTGCTTCTCTTTAATGTTATTATAACTATAATTACATCAGCAAACAAACTGATTGATCGGCCTCTTCTCAGGTTATTGATTAGTTTGTCAATAACAACTCAGATCAGTTAATTTATTTAAAGAAACTAAATATTCACAGATAAAATCAGAATATGGACTTTTCTTTAAAAGTGACTTTAAATGATTAAAATGTTTAGTGATTAATTAAAGAGCTGATAATCAACTGATGATCAATAATCAATAGTTACCCTTCACTTCAGTCTGCTGCAGTTAAACTATATAAAATATAGATTATAATACAGTTAAAGATAAAATGTGTTTAAAGAGTAAAATAAAGTCAGAATATGAAGATTATT